TAGATTTTTGTTCACTTGGATGAGTAGATAGGTAGATTTTTGTTCACTTGGATGAGTAGACAGGTAGATTTTTGTTCACTTGGATGAGTAGATAGGTAGATTTTTGTTCACTTGGATGAGTAGACAGGTAGATTTTTGTTCACTTGGATGATTAGATAGGTAGATTTTTGTTCACTTGGATGAGTAGACAGGTAGATTTTTGTTCACTTGGATGAGTAGACAGGTAGATTTTTTATTACTGGGAGAGTTAGCTGGGCAGACTGATAATTATTTACTAGCAATGATAGACGGGGGGGGGGGAGGGGGTTCTCGTGACAGAGTGGACAACGACTGGGGATTGTAGTCATAAGGGTCCGGGTTCGATTCCCTGCCGAGGCACAACAAATGGTCAATGTTTCTTTCACCTGATGCACATGTTCACCTAGCAATAAATATATAGGTACTTAGGAGTTAGACAGCTGTCACGGACTACTTCCTGGGGGTGTGTCGGAGGCCTGGTTGAGGACCGGGCAGCAGGGACGCTAAGCCCCGAAATCATCTCAAGATAACCTCAAGATAACCCCAAGTATCCTGCATGTGTATATAAACCCCAAGACTGCAGTGGTCTTAATACACTGCGCATTTTTGCTCACAACGCATTAAAAGTACCTTGTCAGATGATCTCAACAAACATTAAGTTAATGTCCACATTAAAGAATATATACTGCACCAAAATGGCGACATTTAGAAAAAAATAAGCCATACATTTTCTTGTGAAATAATAAGTGTAGCGGTGGAACTGATACTGTGGCAGACAAGAGTCCAGATCAACCATAGTGAAACAAGTACTTGGTACCCAAGTACCCAATGTTTTACATTCAATTTTGTGTTTATATATTAACTCCTTTTTAATGCCCATGCATTCCCTTGTCCACTTCAATGACGTCACGCCTGACTCTTCGCCTTTCTAAAGAATGTAAATTAAGGTTATTCAATGTGTCTTCATAAGTGAGGTTTCTAATTGGTGGAATTAACTTTGCCACAGCACATGCTCTCAAAATGTAAACATCAATTACGACTTGTGTACATATCTGAACGTGTTCATTCTGACTCGAGTCTCGGCAAAACGACGCCAAGAGTCGACGTTCTTAAAGTTTCAAAAGATTAAGGATAAGAGTGTTGGATCACGATAGTAATACAGCGTCAGACTGAAGGAATGTTTTATCTGCCGTTGTCATCTTGTACTGTTGTTAACATCTTTTACTACGTCGGCATCTTCAAGTTTGCTGTCTTGAGGTTGTCACTGAAGACTTCACTGATGAGATACCAGCAATAATAGTCCCCGGGGTCTGACATAGAGATACAATATCATTACAAAAACAATTTAAAAAGAAGATACACTTACCTTTATGAGACTAATAATTAAATGCCCCGTTATCTAGAGCAACAACTTGCCATTAACGAGTCTCGATGAGGCCAGAGTCCCGGAGCACGAGCCACACCATTGACACAAGCACACTAGAGTCAATAACAGAATAAAGCGTATTTCAGCCAGTTGTGTAGTCACCATGAGAGTTAAGAGAGAGAGAGAGAGAGAGAGACGCGTCTACACTCCCCAGCGGCCGCGACCCAACTGAGCTCCTCCCTGGCTGCTCCCTGTCACACGGACCAATTGCCAAGTCGTCAGGGCCAACAATCACCAAATTCTCCCTAGTTGTCGCACAGGTAATTTGCGTCTATTGCTTCTTACTGAGAAGTGACACTTTTTATGACGCTCCTCCATGGAGGGTGAACAGTTTGAACATACAATACCAATATACGCTGAGCGCTCGGCCAAGCCGCCTTTTTCCAACCATTCTCATTCACTGCCCGAGATATATATTCTATATATCTCCCAAGGAGATATATTCTATATATCTCCCACGGAGATATATTCTATTATACGCAGGTGCCACTGTAATTTACACTTTTGGAGCCTTTACTACTGAACTATATTTCGAGAATCGTACAAACGGTTTATGGCGTGACATTCACCTGTGGGACGATGACTATAGTGCCAGGCACTAGAGAGATGTGCACTTGTGCTCACCTCGCGGAGGTCTACAGGGAAAATTGCTGTTAACTGCGTCGTGTTAACATATTTACGGCCTCTACATCACCAATTAACAAGGTTAAAAAACACTTCCGGGTTGTTAATTCAGGGAAAAATATAATTGCAAGATTACACTTCCAGCGGGTTGAAAGTATTAATTGGGGTAAATAGGGAGGTGGAAAGCAGTAATCTCTTTACCAACTCTGACCGTAATTGGATGATTGCTTCGTCCTGGGGGAAATTGATGTCATGCTTCATCAGTTTCGTTTATGAATGTTTATGCAATCAAATCAAAATCCTCTCAAGATATAGTGTGCTCAGTGGTAATGTGTGGACCAGCTATGTGTCGCACTAACACCCGCGGTAATTGGAACACATGTTTTAACACACATACAAATAAATTATGTTAGACTTTAATTATTATGCACCCCATTGAGTTTTTATTAAAAAAAATTAACTGTTTTTATCTGAAAGTGATGCTTCCAGGAACACATACACACACACACACACACACACACACACACACACACACACACACACACACACACACACACACACACACACACACACACACACACACACACACACACACACACACACACACACACACACACACACACACACACACACACACACACACACACACACACACACACACACACACACACACACACACACACACACACACACACACACACACACCGACGCACCCACTACATTTAATACCTTATTAATATCCTTTATGTAATGTCATTTATTCATGTCACGTAAACATATTTGTCTTTGTCTTTAAGAACGTGAGGTGAAAACTTACGAAACGCATCACTAGGCGTCAGACACAAATAAAAAATATAAATGAACTTTGGAAAGTTCATTTTTCAACTTCCTGCTTCAGTGAAGAAAAACATCAGGAATATCGAGAAGATTCGCGCCAGAATCATAAATCTACAACTTTCTGTCGTTTTCATCGAAATATGTTTAAAGAAAGACTGCTACCAATATATATATATATATATATATATATATATATATATATATATATATATATATATATATATATATATATATCGAAGAAATGTAAGGAAATACTCGTACCTGTACTGGAGGTCAACATGGAGAATGTACTGAAAGAAGATGATGTGGAAGATTAGACTCGACAAACCACCAGGGCTTGGAGACGGGGCCCCAAGAGCTGAAGCTCACTCCCTGGAGCCACTGGTAAGGCAGCCACTGGTAGGTAAGCACCACTACTTACCATAATCAGCCAAAATAACCAACATTAAACTCTCCGCATGAGACCAGATCACAGGAAGCTGCCGACGACGCCCCGGGAGACATGATATAGCAAGACGAGTTTTGAACACGGACCAGTAATGGCGCGTGTCCGCCATTACCCTCCCCACAACCCTTTTTTTATTAATACATGAGGTACATCTGCATTAGTGCAGCTACCCTAGACTATATGAAGTGGAGTACAGTGTGTCAAAAACAGCTAACTAGATAATGATAAAAAATCCCCATCACACAGGATGGTTAGTCATACAGAGGCATGTGATAGGCAGTCTGCACTGGCAGACTCCGGATGCATTTTGAGGATATCATCAACACAAGAGTGAATAAGGTAGCAGTGATAATAAAAGTCCCCATCTCGCAGGATGGTTAGTCATACAGAGCCATGTGTTTAGTAGCCTGCACTGGCAAATTTTGGGTATACTGTGAGGATATCTTCAAGAATACGAGAGTGAATAAAGTAATTGCAAAGCTCCAGGTACCTCATGCCAACTGGTCTGAAAGGTCTAATAACTGGGCATTCAGTGATGTAGTGCGGGAGATCATGCCGTAGTTCCTGCTCACAGAGTTTGCAACTGGAGTGCTCAGGATTGGGAGACCCGTCACCTTCAGCCACCTGCCACAGGTAACGGTAACCCAACCTGATCCTTGCAACCACTGTGTCGCACAGTCTAGTGGACGTTTTGTGCTGTCCATAGATGTAGGTTTCAGATCTGAACAAATCATAGCTTTTTATACTAGTACTTTCAGGTCGTTGGGAGTCAGTAAGTTCTTTCCTATCAGATCTGAATGTTTGGATCAATACAGTTTTGACAACAGAGATGGGGATACCTAGATCTAATTTAACTTCAAACTTGTTACACGCTAATTTGGCTGCAATGTCTGTCTCATTATGATGGGTTATATTTATGTGTGAAGGTATCCATACAAAGGAGATTCGAGACCCTTTACTCTGGTTTTTTTTTTTTTTTTTTATTAAGATATGAGGTACATCTGCATTAGTGCAGCTACCCTAGACTATATGAAGTGGAGTACAGTGTGTCAAAAAAGCTAACTAGGTGATGCTAAAAAATCCCCATCACACAGGATGGTTAGTCATACAGAGGCATGTGATAAGCGGTCTGCACTGGCAGACTCCGGATGCATTTTGAGGGTATCAACAACACAAGATTGAATAAGGTAGCAGTGGTAATACAAGTCCCCATCTCGCAGGATGGTTAGTCATACAGAGCCATATGTTTAATAGCCTGCACTGGCAAATTTTGGGTACACTGTGAGGATATATCTTCAAGAATACGAGAGTGAATAAAGTAATTGCAAAGCTCCAGGTACCTCATGCCAACTGGTCTGAAAGGTCTAATAACTGGGCATTCAGTGATGTAGTGCGGGAGATCTACTCTGGTTACCACCAACCACGGGAGGATAACTCTACGGAATCGCCCCATGAGTTTTCGTTTAATACTGCCGGTATTTTAGAGAATATAATCGTATTTTTTCCAGAAATGTAACTGTGATATAGACGTCGTGGCACTGTGTCGTGTGTGTGTACCCATCACTTATGAGGCGCCACAAGGAGCCCTCGAGGACGGTCTAAGATGAACCACCACAACACAAATGACCTGATCTTAAATTTCCGCTGATGTGGATAACATGTGTGACACGTGTCTTTAGAGGTGGACCCCGTGGTGACCCCAGCGTGGCCACAGGGGGACCCCGTGGTGACCCCTGCGTGGCCACAGGTGGACCCCATCGTGACCCCTGCGTGGCCACAGGTGGACCCCATCGTGACCCCTGCGTGGCCACAGGTGGACCCCATCGTGACCCCTGCGTGGCCACAGGTGGACCCCGTGGTGACCCCTGCGTGGTTACAGGTGGACCCCATGGTGACCCCAGCGGGGCCACAGGTGGACCCCGTGGTGACCCCAGCGTGGCCACAGGTGGACCCCATGGTGACCCCTGCGTGGCCACAGGTGGACCCCGTGGTGACCCCGGCGTGGCCACAGGTGGACCCCGTGGTGACCCCTGCGTGGCCACAGGTGGACCCCGTGGTGACCCCTGCGTGGCCACAGGTGGACCCCATGGTGACCCCAGCGTGGCCACAGGTGGACCCCATGGTGACCCCTGCGTGGCCACAGGTGGACCCCATGGTGACCCCTGCGTGGTTACAGGTGGACCCCATGGTGACCCCAGCGGGGCCACAGGTGGACCCCATGGTGACCCCTGCGTGGCCACAGGTGGACCCCATGGTGACCCCAGCGTGGCCACAGGTGGACCCCATGGTGACCCCTGCGTGGTTACAGGTGGACCCCGTGGTGACCCCAGCGTGGCCACAGGTGGACCCCATGGTGACCCCTGCGTGGTTACAGGTGGACCCCGTGGTGACCCCAGCGTGGCCACAGGTGGACCCCATGGTGACCCCTGCGTGGTTACAGGTGGACCCCGTGGTGACCCCAGCGTGGGCACAGGTGGACCCCGTGGTGACCCCACATACTGACCCCAGCACGATAACAAATAATGCGATTCTTCTCCGTTATCAAGTGTAATTAGTCTTGACACTGCTGCTCGTGCTAATTAAAGTGACAGGTGTCATCAGTGACAGGTGTCATCAGTGTGACAGGTGTCATCAGTGACAGGTGTCATCAGTGACAGGTGTCATCAGTGACAGGTGTCATCAGTGACAGGTGTCATCAGTGTGACAGGTGTCATCAGTGACAGGTGTCATCAGAGACAGGTGTCATCAGAGACAGGTGTCATCAGTGACAGGTGTCATCAGTGACAGGTGTCATCAGTGACAGGTGTCATCAGTGACAGGTGTCATCAGTGACAGGTGTCATCAGTGACAGGTGTCATCAGTGACAGGTGTCATCAGTGACAGGTGTCATCAGTGTGACAGGTGTCATCAGTGACAGGTGTCATCAGAGACAGGTGTCATCAGAGACAGGTGTCATCAGTGACAGGTGTCATCAGTGACAGGTGTCATCAGTGACAGGTGTCATCAGTGACAGGTGTCATCAGTGACAGGTGTCATCAGTGTGACAGGTGTCATCAGTGACAGGTGTCATCAGTGACAGGTGTCATCAGTGACAGGTGTCATCAGTGTGACAGGTGTCATCAGTGACAGGTGTCATCAGAGACAGGTGTCATCAGTGACAGGTGTCATCAGTGACAGGTGTCATCAGTGACAGGTGTCATCAGTGTGACAGGTGTCATCAGTGACAGGTGTCATCAGTGTCACAGGTGTCATCAGTGTCACAGGTGTCATCAGTGACAGGTGTCATCAGTGACAGGTGTCATCAGTGTGACAGGTGTCATCAGTGACAGGTGTCATCAGTGACAGGTGTCATCAGTGTGACAGGTGTCATCAGTGACAGGTGTCATCAGTGACAGGTGTCATCAGTGACAGGTGTCATCAGTGTGACAGGTGTCATCAGTGACAGGTGTCATCAGAGACAGGTGTCATCAGTGACAGGTGTCATCAGTGACAGGTGTCATCAGTGACAGGTGTCATCAGTGTGACAGGTGTCATCAGTGACAGGTGTCATCAGTGTGACAGGTGTCATCAGTGTGACAGGTGTCATCAGTGACAGGTGTCATCAGTGACAGGTGTCATCAGTGTGACAGGTGTCATCAGTGACAGGTGTCATCAGTGACAGGTGTCATCAGTGACAGGTGTCATCAGTGACACCTGCTGACAGTAGCACCTGGTACGGCCTTCCCGCTGGAACAATCGACTAATTACCGGATCACGAACAGTAATTTGTCCTTGCAAGTGAAAAATATTTGGCGGTGACCGAGTAAATGTAAGACATTTACTTAGTCGTTCTGGAGTCTTGAAGATGTATGTGAAGATGTATGTGAAGATGTATGTGTAGATGTATGTGTAGATGTATGTGTAGATGTATGTGAAGATGTATGTGTAGATGTATGTGAAGATGTATGTGTAGATGCATGTGAAGATGTATGTGTAGATGTATGTGAAGATGTATGTGTAGATGTATGTGTAGATGTATGTGTAGATGTATGTGAAGATGTATGTGTAGATGTATGTGAAGATGTATGTGTAGATGTATGTGTAGATGTATGTGTAGATGTATGTGTAGATGTATGTGTAGATGTATGTGTAGATGTATGTGTAGATGTATGTGTAGATGTATGTGTAGATGTATGTGAAGATGTATGTGTAGATGTATGTGTAGATGTATGTGTAGATGTATGTGTAGATGTATGTGTAGATGTATGTGTGAAGATGTATGTGTAGATGTATGTGTAGATGTATGTGTAGATGTATGTGTAGATGTATGTGTAGATGTATGTGTAGATGTATGTGTATGTGAAGATGTATGTGAAGATGTATGTGAAGATGTATGTGTAGATGTATGTGTAGATGTATGTGTATGTGAAGATGTATGTGTAGATGTATGTGTAGATGTATGTGTAGATGTATGTGTAGATGTATGTGTAGATGTATGTGTAGATGTATGTGTAGATGTATGTGTAGATGTATGTGTAGATGTATGTGTAGATGATGTATGTGTAGATGTATGTGAAGATGTATGTGAAGATGTATGTGTAGATGTATGTGTAGATGTATGTGTAGATGTACGTGTATGTGAAGATGTATGTGTAGATGTATGTGTAGATGTATGTGTAGATGTATGTGTAGATGTACGTGTAGATGTATGTGTAGATGTATGTGTAGATGTATGTGTAGATGTATGTGTAGATGTATGTGTAGATGTATGTGTAGATGTATGTGTATGATGTATGTGTAGATGTGTATGTATGTGTAGATGTGTAAGTATGTATGTGTAGATGTATGTGTAGATGTATGTGTAGATGTATGTGTAGATGTATGTGTAGATGTATGTGTAGATGTATGTGTAGATGTATGTGTAGATGTATGTGTAGATGTATGTGTAGATGTATGTGTAGATGTATGTGTAGATGTATGTGTAGATGTATGTGTAGATGTATGTGTAGATGTATGTGTAGATGTATGTGTAGATGTATGTGTAGATGTATGTGTAGATGTATGTGTAGATGTATGTGTAGATGTATGTGTAGATGTATGTGTAGATGTATGTGTAGATGTATGTGTAGATGTATGTGTAGATGAACGTTTGCTACAAAAGCCTTAAAGAACCATTCACCACAACAACTGCCACAATCACCTCCTTCACCATCTTTCACCTTCACACATGCAACAAACACCAACAAACACCAACAAACACCAACAAACACCAACAAACACCAACAAACACCAACAAACACCAACAAACACCAATCATCAACACGCCGTCGAGCAGTAAAATCCCACACTCCCTTGGTCAGCTGCAGCGGGCAGCGGCAGGATATTCCCAGAGGGACGTACTTTCCCGCCCCTGGGGTACCCTGTGCCCCTGGGGTACCCTGCGCCCCTGGGGTACCCTGTGCCCCTGGGGTACCCTGCGCCCCTGCGGTGCCCTGTGTCCCTGGGGTTATGTGCCTTGTGCCCCTGGGGTTATGTGCCCTGCGCCAATTTGGTGCCCTGTGCCCCTGGGGTGCCCTGTGCCCCTGGGGTGCCCTGTGCCCCTGGGGTGCCCTGTGCCCCTGGGGTGCCCTGTGCCCCTGGGGTGCCCTGTGCCCCTAGGGTTACGTGCCCTGTGCCCCTAGGGTGCCCTGTTCAGGTGGGAGGTGGGTGGTGCTCCAGTGGGCGAGCCTCTCCCCAGCACCCATCAGCACATCAACAATGATGAGTTACTTAGACAAGGACCGGCAGCCGCTTGTTTAACTCAAGGCTCAACTACCAAACAACAGCCACTGCCCCATTAGGCCTGGGGCGCCACGTGCTCCAGAGCGCGGTGTTCACCATTCAAACAACAAGGGAAGCTTTCCTCGCTTGTTTTCAAAATTATTTTCCGGAAATTCATGGATTTTATTGTGTTCGTGGAAGCGACGTACTGGGAGGGATTTACTGGCATCGTTGTCGTGTACTGTGTTAATATGCTCCACTACTCTTCATGTTTATCGCTGACATGTATGGCGAAGCGACAGTTACGCATCGTGGGGCGTGATTGTCAGTTGTTTCTAGGCGGCCAGTTGGAACCTAGAGCCAGGGGCGTGATTGTCAGTTGTTTCTAGGCGGCCAGTTGGAACCTAGAGCCAGGGGCGTGATTGTCAGTTGTTTCTAGGCGGCCAGTTGGAACCTAGAGCCAGGGGTGGGGGGTGGGGGGACTATCACGGGAAAGCGCCAGGCCATTACGACTATATAGCACTTGGAAGGGATCAGGATATGGGATGGGACAGGGGGAAAGGAATGGTGCCCAACCACTTGGACGGTTGGGGATTGAACGCCGACCTGCATGAAACGACACCGTCTACTCTAACGTTTAGCCCAAGTGGCTGGGAACAGCCGGGGAAAGAGGACCAACCAAACATTTTCCATTTGTATTTAATAATAATACTGTGATTATTAGAGATGGCTGTAATAGTGACAATGTTGGTAATGACTATACTAGTCCTTGTTTGATGATAGGCTCCTCGTGTTGTGTTCTCGTTATCACCTCTTGTGTGTGTGTGTGTGTGTGTGTGTGTGTGTGTGTGTGTGTGTGTGTGTGTGTGTGTGTGTGTGTGTGTGTGTGTGTGTATGAAGGGACTATCCAAAGTATCAGGAGACCAAATATTGACAAATCTTAGAAATTTTAAAATTTAAATCAAATTCGTATATTGAGCATTGCCAGGCATAACGTATGACAAAAACAAATTTTGTATGGCACATATACTCTAGCAAATTCATTTGCGAACATTTTGACACCAAGTTTATAGTTGCAACTCACGAGTTAACTGAGAAAACGTAAAAAAGAACATGAACATTTTAGGCTTCGCTCAGACATCCGGAACGTTAAAATGAAATAATTAAAGTAGCAAATAAAGAATTATGAAATTAAAAATGCTGTTGTATTTTTGAAGTATAGAAGATAAAAAAAGAAGGGTAGGAAGGAGGGGGTGTGTAGAGTTATGCTGAGGGGGGGGGGGGGTGACAGCGGCGCCTGACTGGGTGTAGTAAAATGTCACCTAGAAATTTGGAATTGGAAAGTTGTCAGGTATTTTTCCGGGCTACAAGTTTTGACCATTACAGTGGTGGGGGTTGGGGGGAGGATAGGTGTAGGGGATGGAGGATAGGATAGGGGGTGAGGGGGGGGGGGAATAAGGGGGATGGAAGTTGTTCAGATACATAGACACGGGTGGAGAGTGGGGAGGAATATTGGGAGAGTTGGGGGTGCTTTTCGTGGGGGGGGGGGGAAGTAAAGAAAACGGATTGGTGCAGGTGAAGGAAAAATATTTAGAAATGTGATATATAATATGATTTATGATAACTGGCAGACTGTCCACCTCCCTGTCAGTCCGCCTTTGACAATTCTGGCGCGATCGGCGCATAAAGTTGGACATGATCCGCTCGTGAATACTTAATTATAACGAATAACACAACTATGTCATTAATTTAACGAACAGACA